GTTCCAACTCGATGGCACCTGACAACAACAACAACAACCATATATTGACAGAGAGCTTCCAGAAGTTCAAGCCAGATTCAGAAATGGAATGAGATATCTCATTACTGGCGTCTGACAGATCTTGGTTGAAAGCAGAGAATACCAGAAACATGTTTACCTGTGCTTTATTGACTATGCAAAGGCTTTTGATTGTGTGGATCATGACAAACTATGGACAACAATGTGAAGAATGAGTATTCCAGAGCACGCAATTGTGCTTATGAGGAACCTGTACATAGACCAAGAGGCAGTCATTTGAACAGAACAATAGAACACTGAATGGTTAAAAATCAGGAAAGGTGTGCCACAGGATTGTATTCTTTCACCATACTTATTCAGTCTGTATGCTGAGCAAATAATCCGAGAAGCTGGATTATATGAAGAAAAACTTGGCAGCAGGTTTGGAGGAAGATTCATTAACAAACTGTGACATGAAGATGGTACAACCTGACTTGCTGAAAGCAAAGAAGACTTAAAATACTAATAAAGATCAAAGACCATTTTGATGTACAACCCATATAATGTTTTTTGTATGGGTTGCACATCAATATAAAGAAAACAAAAATCTTCACCACTGTATTAATAAATAACATCATGATAAATGGAGAAAAGATTGAAGTTGTGAAAGACTTTATTTTGCTCTGCTCAACCATGAACACTCACGTAAGCAGCAGTCAAGAAATCAAATGATGAATTGCATTAGGAAAATCTGCTGCACAAGACCTCTTTAAATTGCTCAAGAACAAAGATGTCGGTTTGAGGACTAAGGTGCACCTCGCCCAAGGCAAGGTATTTCCAATAACCTCATATGCATATGAAAGCTGGACAATGAATAAGGAAGACAGTAGAAGAATTGATGCATTTGATTTATGGTGTTGGAAAAGTACTATGGACCACCAAAAGAACAAACCAATCTGTGCTGGAAGAAGTAGAGCCAGAATGCTCCCTGGAAGCCTGGATGGTCAGACTTCACCTCTCATACTTCAAACATATGCCAGGAAGGACCAGTTACTGGAGAAAGGATATCATGTCTGGTAAAATGGAAGGTCGGAGAAAAAGGGAAATACCCCCAATGAGATGGGTTGGCACCATAGCTGCAGTGATGGGCTCAGATGTAGCATTGTGAGGTTGACCCAGGATCGGGCAGTGTTTCCTTCTGTTGTGCATGGGGTCTCTATGAGTCAGACAATAGCAACATAGGGGAAAGCAGTCTGGAGAAAGATACAATATCCTAACCCTTTTGTTAGAAAAAAACAAAACAAAACAAAAACCCAACAATACTTAGGAGAGGAAAAGACAGCTTAGATTTGAATATGAATTGGGAAGGAAGGCTTTAAGAATGATGGTGCTATAGGAGGAAACTGAATTCAAATGTAGACTAGTATTCTTGAATAGGTGTGAAGGAAGTTAGAGAAAAGGGAATTTGATTAGTGAAAGAAACCATTTTTGGGTAGGCATAGAAATGGAAAAAAAACTCAAGTGGGGTAAAAATTAGCCTGTGGACAATCTAATTATTGACTATCATTTCACTCCTTGCTGACCATGGACAAAAGCAGCAAGTTGCTTCATCACATTGACTATAGATTGAGATGTATCCTGCAAGATGTAGGAATCTTCATTGGCATTTTTAAGGCTTTTGACAAGCATATGAACTTAATCCTCTGTGATTGTGATGAGTTCAGGAAGGTCAAGTAAGAGAGACCTGTTTGGGTAAAGAGCATGCAGGCAGAGGCATTAGGAAGCCAAGGCCAGAAAAGGAGCAAAGGGTTATCCAGGGTAACCGAAGGAAGTAGCGAGGATGTGACTGGTAGAGAACAAATGTCTAATCCTTAGGACTCATCTTCACATTGCTACAGGGTCTCCCAGCCTAAAATCTCTGCCATCACAGACTCGTTATAATTTTCAAACTTAATAATAAATTTACTAACTCATAAGTAAACTCTACAGTGTGATCAAAATACCATGTGGTGTTTTGTTTGTTTGTTTTTCATTTATTTTCTGAAAAACTTTTTATTATGGATTGGGTAAAGGTTTACAGAGTAGATCATCAGTTTTACAGTCAACAAATCCTACACATTTTGTTTCACATCAATGATAAATCACCTGCTTGCATTCTTTCTGTTTTCCAACTCTTCTGTGTTTTGTCCTGGGTAAATGCTACCCAGTGAATCTCAAGTGGATCATTATTCTAAGGTGTGAATACTGCCCTTCTAGCCCTGTCTGTTGTTGGACTGAAATTTGAATCATGGAGGTGATTTCAAGACATGAAGGGTAAGTAAGGGACACAGTCTCAGGTACCACCAATCTGTTTCTGATCAGTAAGCGTGATCTTTTAAAAATTTTTTACGATTTTGAGTTTTGTTCCACACTGTTCTCCTGCTTACATCTAGGACCTCCTTATACGACCCGTTTCAGAGAGGTTGGTAGTGGTAGCCTGGCACCATTGAGATGTTCTGGTCTCAGGGCTGTGGTAAATGTTGTTCTTGTGGTCCATTAAGCTTCTCCATTGTCTCTTCGCGCAGATGTAGTCAATTTTATTCCTGTTTGTTCCATCTGGCAGTGTTCATGTTAATAGTTGCTATTTATGTTGTTGAAAAAAGTCATTGGTCTTGAAACATTCTACCATTTTTTTCTCTACCTCTTTGTTTCCTTTCTCTTTGTTTCCAACTTTCATATTGCAATCACCAGGATTTATCAATGCCTCTTGATTGTATGTTTGATCAGTTTCAGACTGAAGAAGTTGGTTGTTGTTGTTGTTAACTGCTGTTGAGTTGCTTCCAACTCATAGCAACTCTGTCTAGGGTTTTCAAATTTAGGGTTCACACTGACCTTGGAGTCTAATGCTTATCCTACAGCACCACACCAGGACTCCAAGGAAGTTGGTAGAATTCTTCAATTTCATCATCTTTGGCTTTAGTGTTTAGTTTGTAATTTGAAAAATAGTAGTATTAACTGGTCTTCCTATGAGGCGTATGGCTATTACCCTATTACAGACAGCATTGTACTTCAAGATAGATCTTGAAATGCTCTTTTTGACAATGAAAGCGAGGCCATCCCCCTTCAATTTGCCATTCCCAGTGTAGGAAAACATAATAATCAAATTCAAAATGGCAAATAGCTGTCCATTTCAGCTCACTAACGTGATGTGACACTGTGGAATAAGCACTGGACTACTAACCACAAGGTCAGCAGCTCAAACCCATTAGTCACTCTTTGGAAACCACCCTACACAGGGTTGCTGTGAGTTGGAACCAATTCAGCGACACTTAGCAACAACAACAGTATCTAGAATATCAATCCTCAAGTGTTTCATTTCATTTCTGATGACTTTCAGCTTTCCTAGATTGATACTTTCTACATTCCATGTTCCGATTATTAATGCATGCTTGTGCTGCGTCTTCTCATTTTGAATTGTGCCCCATTAGCAAATAATCTTGGCTGAAAGCAGAGAATACTAGAAAGATGTTTACCTGTGCTTTATTGACTACGCAAAGGCTTTTGATTGTTTGGATCATGACAAGCTATTCTGGGCGGAATGGTTGGTGCCTTATTGTACATGTCAATAAAATATGACTATGATGGGAGAATGTTCATTAGCTTTGCATTCATCCTGCCATGGTTGCAGGTCCCCTCCATGCATCATCCACCAACCGAAGGTGTGGCCCCTGGTTGTCAGTACCCATGTTGTTTGTGTTCTTGACTACATTTTCCATGGACATTGATTGTGGAAACAAGTAAAATGAAATTCCTGACAAGTTCAATAACAACAACAACAGCAAAAAATATGGCTATGAAAAAGAATTTAAAATTTTATTTTCCATCTTAAATTTCTTAAAAGGCTTTTATGTCAGTTGCAGTTATTTTACAATTAGTTTTCCTGAAGCAGAAACATTCTGGAAACAACCTGACATTTATAAAAAAAGATCTTAACTAGTCACCCTGATATATTCATTTAATAGATGCGTGTTAGTTAGGTCTAGATGCTAATTTTTACCACAGCTCAGCAACTGTCTTATGTTTAACTTAACTTCATGACCTCAGCTATTGACTGACGTTTTACTTTATGATGCAGGTATATTATGGAAATATTCCAGGGATGGAACAATCGTAAATTATCTCACTATAACTTCTTGTTTATAGGCCAAAGAATGCAAAGCAGCCAGAGCGTGAAGAAAAGCAGGTTTGGGGCCTGGTGTTGATGCGAGGGGAGAACTTGGTTTCCATGACTGTGGAAGGGCCACCTCCCAAAGATGTAAGATGTGGGTCAATGCAAACTTTCATGTGGAAGAGCGTTGATCTATCAGAGAGCGCTGCTACATAAGGGCAAAGCAGAGGCAGAGAAGAGTATGTCTTTGGTAATTAAAATATGCTCAGTAATTGATATCAGTTCTAACTTATTTGTTTTTTTAGAGATTATGGTTTTCTGGTAAGTTAGTTTCTGTACTGGGTAATAGCAGGAGTTGCACATTTCTTTAACTTGGTGATGAAGTTTTTGGGTTCTGTCTTGTCAGTTCCAACTCTTAGTGAATTTATGTACAATAGAACAAAACACTGCCTGATTCTGTGTCATCTTGACCACTGTTGCTGCCACTGTGCCAATCCATCATGTTGTGGGTCTTTTTTTTGCTGATTCACCACTTCTGCAAGCAGGATGTCCTTCTCTAGGGACTGGCCCTTCCTGATAATATGTCCAGTGTATGAGAGATGAAGTTATAACATCCTGGCTTCTAAGGAGCTGTACTTCTTCCAACACAGATTTGTTTCTTCTTCCAGTATCCCATGGTATTTTTAATATTCTTCTCTAACCCCATAACTCAAAAGCATCAATTCTTCTGCATTCATCCTTATCCATTGTCCAACTCTTATAAGCATATGAAGCTATTCAATAGACCATGGCTTAGGTCAGGTGTGCTCTTGAACACTTTAAAGAGGGCTTGTGCAACAGATTTTCCTAATGCAATACATTGTCTAATTTCTCTTTCTTTGACATTATTTTTAAAGTTTTTACTGTGAATTGAGTGATAGTTTGCATGGAGGAATATTGGTTTTATACTCATTGTTTCATTGCAGTGATTAAAATCTTATCTGTGTATCCTCATTCAACAGTATTTGCTTCTATTCCCTTTGTTTTTGTTTTGGGGGGATGTACACAGAAACAAGCAGGAATCATTTAAACAACCAAAGGGCACATTCTGCAAGCCTGCCTCCTGGTCACCAGCACACAGCCTTTCTTTTTCCATGAGTCTAGAGTCCTCAGCTGCTCCCCCCCACCCCCATGTTCTCATATCTGCCTCCATCTCTGGTGTCCCTGCTTCTCTGGATAGGGTCCCACCTTCTGCTCACGTTCTTCTCCCTAGATGATCATAGGGTTCTCTGTTCCTGGACTGTAGGATTAACTACTCGCCCCCTTTTTGTTATTTATATTCTACCTTTACAGTTGTGGCAGCTGCAATTAGTCATGATAACAATTTATTCACTATTGAATCATAAGACTATTATCCCCATCTCTTTTCACCAGACCCTTTTAGACAAGATGATAATACCTCATCTAATTTCTTGATCGCTGCTCCCGTAAATGTTGAAAGTGAAGTATTTGACAACTTTAGTCTTTTTTCCACCTATATGGATATTGTTTATTGGTCCATTGGTAAGGTTGGCAGTTCAAACCCACCAGCTGCTCCTCAGAAACCCACCCTATACAGGGTTGCTATGTGTTGGAACCTACTCGACAGCACGTCACAACATCACCATAGAGTTAGGTCTATGAAGAGAGCTTGTATCAATGTGAGGAAATGAGGCTAAAATTATACTCTTGTCTAGAAGATAGTATATCGAGGCCCAGCCCAAGTTCCTACCTAGAAGTAAGGGTTTCTGCTTCCCTCTTTAGAATACTGGATTTTTAATAAAATGCTGTGGTCTCTTTTAAGTTAGGGAAGAAATACAGGGTAACAGCCAAAGAGAAATATGTACCTGGGCCCATTAAAAAATTGTTTTTTCTTGGAATCATCTCTGTTCATTTAGATGAGTTGATTTATGAGGTATTTATTCTGTCATTTTCCATTTGTAGGCATTATGGTTCCTCCACCTGGTAGGAGGCCACCCATGGGCCCACCGATTGGGCTTCCTGCAGCTCAAGGGACCCCAATAGGCATGCTCCATCTAGGAATGAGAGGTGAGGGGTGCACTGGTGTGCTGTGAATTACTGTCCTGTGAGCATGGGTGTAGCATTCAATCCCTGACGAGGTACAGGCTGTTTTACTAAATAGTCTTATGGAATTTGTTTTTCCTTCTAGGTCCATCTCCCCCAGGAATGCATCCACCAACAGCCTAAGATGCCTTCTCAGTCACTCTTCCTGCCGTGTGTCTTACTGTTAAATATGTAGAGTGTTCAAGAGTTTTTTGTCTCCTGTTTCTGCATTAGTGTTAGCTCATAATAAATACATAGAGCAATTAAACCATAAGGTACTGTGTACATTATTTTGGTCCTTGTTGGTTTTGGTGAAGTCAGACTGGAACATTTCTCATTTGATGTTATGATAGATGAGCTGAATCCTGTTAAGTAACTCATTTAAATAATTTCATCTTGATTCATATGACTATATTGATAACTTGAGTTTCCTTCCTAACTTGCACCTTGTGCGTTGACTGTTTTTGATCAGTAATCTATTACAGAGAAGTAAGAAGTGGAGCTAAAATCCACACTAACCTAGTTCACAATACCTTTATCAGAAAGGTGATGTGAATGGGATGGAAACCCTTGTGAGGCATCTCTGTGGAAGGGAACTCTGGTACTGAATTAGACTCTGCTCATTAAATCAAATCACTTGGAACAGCTATTATTTTTTTTCTCTGCAAGTTTGTCTCAGATGATCAGCTTTTACACACACTGTTGTGCCTGATGTGGCCACAATATGTGATCTGATCATGGAATAATCATTACTTCAAATGAGTAAGTATTTACTAGTACTAACTGAGGAAAGGACACAGCCTGGGTACTAGGAGGCACAGTGGTTGAGAATAATGCATTATACGAGGCTATGTCAAAAGGTATAGTTACTAGGGTTCCAGTTTATCCATGCATGGGTTTATTCCCAACAAAGTATGTTTAGGCATATGTCTGTGAACATTAGAGATCCAGACATGTTGTGTCTGTAGTAAACTTCTTAAAAGGATGCCTTCAAGAGTTTCAGTAAAAACAGTGGCTTCTGAGGGAATCTACACTAGGACAGTTATTGTCAAGACAGAGAGTTCAGCCAGATGATTATGACTGTTCTTGGGGAACTCAAAGGGGTAATCTTGATAGATTTTCTTGAAGGACCAGAATGATCACAGGAGTGTACTTATGAATATGTTTTTAGAAAATTGAGAACTGTTTGTGAGAAAAGGGCTAGGAGAAGTTGTTTCCTACCACAACAGTGAGCATGCTCATTCTTCTAGGATAACATAGACTTTTTGACAAGCATTTCACTGGGGAGTCTTACCTACACATCCTGCAACCTTGATCTTGTACCTCAAGACTATTTTTTGTTCCTCTAACTCAAAGAACATTGAAAAGAAATACAATTTTGAGTCTCTTGAGGATGTCAAAATAGTTTTGAATCTAAGAGCACAGAAGTCCTTGGGGGAAATATTAGATGAAACACCACCTTTAGAAGTTTATGGATCAAGATGGAGAACTAATAGCGTCACATATTTATTTTGTTGTTTAATAAAGGTTTCTTTTATTTTATAGCAAAAACTTGTCCATAAAACTGTTCATATCACTGAGGTATACAGTTAGCGTGAAGGTTGTTGGGCCACGTAGTGCTTTTGTGTTCAGCTTTGAGGAATCGCCAACATATTTTTTATAGTGTTGGTACCATTTTATGGTACATTACTCTCAGCTGTATCCTCCTCATTAGAAATTTGTCTCTAAAAGCTTCAGCACCTATTGATTTCCATTGATATAATTTTCATCCTACTACAGAATAAGATGATCCCCCTTTGGTTTTAATTTGTGTCTTCCTAATGGCTAACGGGAGTCCTGGTGTGGTGCTGTAGGTTAATGCCTCAGACTGCAAAGCCATTTGAACTTCAAGATTGGCAGTTCAGGTCACCAGCTGCTCCTTGGAAACCCTTACAGGGTCGCTAAGGGTCAGAATCAACTCGATGACACTTTACAACAACAAATGGCTAATGACCACCACTCGTACTTCAATTTGCCAAATGATGGTGGCTTGTGTGTTGCTGTGATTCAGGAAGCTATGCCATGGGTATTTTATATACCAGCAGGGTCACCCATGGAAGACAGGTTTCAGCTGATCTTCCAGATGAAGACACACTAGGAAGTGCCGTGAGTATTTTAAATACCAGCATTGTTACCCATGGTGGGCAGGTTTCAGTTGAGCTTCCAGACAAAGACAGACTAGAAAGCAAGAGAGACAGATTTCTTCCAAATACAAAGTCACTGAAAACCTTATGAATAGCAGTGGAACACTGTCAGACCCAGTATATTGAATCTTATAACATGATGAAGAACACCAGAATGTTGTCAGACCTTGTGCCGGAAAATTAACCCCTCAGATTGGAAGACCTTCAAAATGGGGAAGATCTGTCTTCTCAGAGTAGAATTGAGGCAAATGGAGAACAAAATGGATGCCAGAAGAGACTCTGAAACTTACTCTCCAGTGCAGAGATGCTAAAGCAAATGGAATAAATGAGGAGGTACAAGAGCTGAACTGAAAGTTTCTAAAGGCAACTCAAGAAGCTAAAGTAAAGAATTATAATGAAATAGGGAAAGACCTAGAGTTAGAAAACCAGAAGGGAAGAACATGCTCAGCACTTGTCAAGCTGAGGGTACTGAAGGGAAAACTGAAGCCTCGACTTGAAATATTGAAGGTTTCTGTAGACAAATGAACTCCTGGTATGGTGCTGTGGGTTAATACACTGGACTGCACAACCATTTGAACTGCAAGATTGGCTCATCAAGATCACCAGCCACTCCTTGGAAACCCTATGCAGGGTTGCTATGAGTTGGATCTGACTTGATGGCACTTAACAACAACATAGGGAAAATATTGAATGTTGCAGAAAGCATCAAAAGAAGATGGAAGGACTATACAGAGTTGCTGTATCTAAAAGAAATTGTCAATACTCAACCACTTCAAGAAGTAGCATTGATCAAGAGCCAATGACATTGAAAGAAGAAATCCAAGGTGCATTGAAGGCATTGG